TGTGTGCTTAAATCTGAGGGCCCCCGACGTCCCATGGGGGGGGGGGGGTAGGCAATCCGCACAGTAATAGTATCAGAATACGTTTTGTTAGGACCAACACAGAATCTCGATTGTCTCAATATGTCGTCAAAGTCTTTCATGGCCAGAGTTCATTAGCTGTTGGACTGGATGGGCCATTGGCCTGATCCAGCGTTGGCTTCTCTTATGTTCTTATGTTCATCCTAAAGTCAACTATTAATAGAAAAGGAATACAGACACGGGAATCTAACCTAATAGCCTAAGCTAAATGCTGTATGCTTTTTTAACAATGAATGAATGAATTTATTGTGACAGCGATTAGCCAGCAATATAAAACCAGAATAAATAAATTACAATGGCCAGATAGTAAAATTTCCGAAATTCAACAAGGTAAAAAGACCAAACTGTAAATACGCTGCCATAAAGCACAGTATAGTATAAAAGAATAAAATATAGTACCAAAAGGAACGGTACCAGTTAAAATCAAACAGTCCTGACCCTAGTGACAACCATCCTGCTGATGCACTTCTACCACCAAGGAACAAAATTTCACGATCTGATGGAGGGCTGTATGTTCAAGATTAAGAAACAAGTTCTCCATCTTGTCCTGATCCGAAGTGCCTGCCAGAAGGGGATCAATAAGTTTAGCACGAGCCTCTTCAAATAACGGGCATCTCAGGAACACGTGTTCCTGGGATTCGATCTCCCCCAATGCACATAAGCATAGCCTCGCCGATCGGGGAATTTTTTAAAATTTACCCTCGAGAACTGCAGAGGGTAAGGCCGAGCATCTAGCCAGTGTATATGCCCTCCTGAGTTTACGGGACTCCAAAACTTTAAGATATGGGGCATGCGCAACGATGTATTTGTTACTAATTGGCGCTATAAATGTTGGGGACACCTGTAGATCTAATTGGCGTTCGGTATCCTTGATCCTCTGTCTAATTTCTAACTTAGCTCGGTCCCTACCCATCTCCAGCAGCGCTAAGGGAGAATACCCCAAGAGCAAAATTTTCCGCTTAACAGAAATCAGCCAATTGGATTCGAAGCTTTTTAACAATAAATATCCAAATAACAAGTTGTTCACAAGTATTCTAATATCCAATTTTCTATTGTTTCATATGCAACACAATTAAAAAACGCAATAACATAAACCGATCGTAAGATAGAAAGCTCATGAATAACACGCCTGGGGTGTGTATTTACAATGTCACCAAAGTGAAAAATGGTCCTTTTTAAACAATGGTATCAATAAAGACATAGACCTTGAACCGGACCAATATTTTCAAAAGCGGTGGAACACCCACTAAATGCCGAAGCGAGCTTGGCAAGGCTTAGAACTCCACAATATGTCCACATAGGTGTGGCAACCCTTAAACTCTTTAAATTAACGCAGATCCCAGGTCGTGTCTCAGGCGTTTCATATCTTCATCAGAGAGTACAGTTCAGGGGTGGCCGAACTTGCTTAACGTGACAGCCACACAGAGTAAACGTCAGACGTTTGAGAGCCGCAAGACATGAGCAAATTGGAAAATATGCACATTTGCTTTTTACTAACATTACATTAGACTGTGTGAAAGAGCCGCATGCGGCTCCCGAGCTGCAGTTTGGCCCTCCTAGTATAGTTCATGCAGTCTTCCCTTTGATAATTCTGTATTGGAGCTTATCAGGGCTATTTTGGGGCAGGAACGCACAGGAACGGAGTTCCGGCTGGCTCCCGAGTTGGCCACGCCCAGCAGGAACTCATTAGCATAATAGGCCACACCCAACAGCAGACACTCATTCGGATTGGCTACATTAGGGGTGTGTGGCCTAACATGCAAAGGGGCTCCTGCTAAAAAAAAAAGGCCGTGGGTTTTGACAACAAACAAGGTCAACAGAATAAGAAGCAAAAGGTGGGTGTGGCTGGATGACCACACTTCTGGTGACATGGGGGTGTGGCCTCATATGCTAATGAGCTGTGCTGTCAGGGGTGTGGCCTAATATGCTAATGAGTTCCTGCTGTTGGGTGTGGCCTATTATGCTAATGCGTTCCTGCTGGGCTTTTTCTACAAAAAGAGCCCTGGCAGCTTATCATTCATCATTAAAAGCACTTTACACCTCTGAGGAGCCTCAAAGCTTCAAAAACCCATAAGAACTTGTGCCAAGATCTGCACAGTCAATCAGATCTCCAGTGGCCCATCAGAAGCTGTCCTGGGCAAAAGCCCTACTTAGGGATACCAGACACACACACACACCCGTGGGGGCAGGCATCCCCCTGTTTCAGGCACTCCTCTCCACACACACACCCCAAACAGGTAAGAAGCCAGAAATAAACGTGAAGTGATGTAGGCACGTGTGGGGGGGTGCCACTCTGGTTTTTGGGCAAAACTCTATGGTAGAAGCTGATTCTGCCATAGAGATTTTGCCCACAAACCAGACCATCACCCCTCCCCCCACACGTGCCTATGGTGTAGTGGTTAACTGCGCGGACTCTAACCTGGGAGAACCGGGTTTGAATCCCCCACTCCTTGCACCTGCTGGATGACCTTGGGCAAGCCGTAGTTCTGTCAGAGCTGTTCTCTCAAGGAGAGTTCTGGAAAGAGCTCTCTCAGCCCCACCTACCTCCCAGGATGTGTCTGTTGTGGGGAGGGGGAGGAGTTTGTCAGCCGCTCTGAGACTCCCTTGGGGAGTGAAGGACGGGGTATAAATCCAATCTCTTCTTCTTCTTCTCCTCCTCCTCCTCCTTCTCCTTCTTCTTCCCAGATTAGAGTCCGTGCACTTAACCGCTACACCAGACTGGCTCTCAATTCCCCACTCCTCCTCCTCATGATTCCCCACTCCTCCTCCACAGGAAGCCTGCTGGGTGACCTTGGGCCAGTCCCAGTTCTCTCAGGACTCTCTCAGCCCCGCCGACCTCACAGGGTGCCTGTTGTAGGGAGAGGAAAGGAAGGCGATTCTAAGATGCTTTGAGACTCCTTAAGGTAGAGAAAAGTGGGGTATAAAAACCAACTCTTCTTCTACCCTTTTTCTTCCGAGGTTTTCACGTTTGTTTCTGGCTTCTTCCCTCCCCACTCCCAGTATGTTCCGGTTGGTCTAATGAACCTGGCATCCCTAGCCCTACCCAGCCCCACACACTTCCTAAAAACACTTGGTGGGCACCAGGAAAGGTCTCAGCGGGCGGCGGGCGCCCACAGGAACTACACTGGGGACCCCTATCCTAGTGCTTCTGGTCAAAGGGGCAGCTTTAAGTCATTCTTTGTTCTGTTGTGGTGGCCGAAGCGTGTCTCCCGTGGCACGTTTGGGATGCATCTTCTCCCGAGAGCGAGCCAGAGAGCTGCCGGAGAGGACGGAACGTCTGTGTTTGGCCAAGTGCCTTTGCCGCGTCTCTCCTCCCTGCCGCAAGAGCACCGCCAGCAGAATTGACCCTACGTGGGGGTCACCCCCGCGACCCGCTCACGCCGCTCTGTTTTCCGGCCCCTGCAGGAAATGGAAGACATTCTGCAGTGCTACATCGAGGAAGGAAACGCCGATATGATCCAGCAGATTGAGTTCATCATCAAGGAGCTTAAATCAGGTCAGAGGGACACGGACCATTATCTGGGCTGCGTATCTCTCGCCAAAGCTGTGAAACGTTTGTGCTTTTCTGGGTCAGAGAACTGGAGGCAGACTCTGAGGCCAGAAGTGTCGCTGGTTTCACGGTCAGTTCCTGCGACCCGTGTCTTGTCCTGCACTACCCAGAACTGATTTAGTTCGAAATAAGCCCTGCCAATTTCAGATAGGGTTGTGCCTCCAGTCTCGGCAGCTAGATGCTAAACCTGCCGGTAAATTCCTCCCAAGTCTGAGACGGTCCCGTGGGAGTCTGATTTGTCTTGCTGCCGTCAGGTGATCCTAATCGTATTTACCTGTAACGCAGTCCTCCTGATTCGTAGGTGCAAAGGTGCTTAGGGTAAGGGAAAGGAGACTGTAAGACACTCTGAGACTCCGAGCGCAGGGCGGGGTATAAATCCAATCTCCTCCTCCTCCCAGCAAGACTTCTGATTGGCTACTGGAGATTTGACTGGTTGTGAAAATTTTAAAAAACATTGCTTTGGCAGCCGCCGCCGCCACCACAGCAAAATTTAAAAAAACATTGCTTTGGCTCCCGCCGCCACCACAGAACGAGGATCTTCACTGTGTGACTGAAGATAAGCTGTGGCGGCCATTTTGCAGCTGCACCCATCTCCTGCGGCAGCCATTTTGTGGCAGCGTTTTTGTGGCTACACTCACTACACTGTGTCGGAATCCCAGAGGTGCCCACGGGTTGAAAAAGGTTGGGAAACCCTGCCCTGGCAGACTGAGCCCGATCTACCTTCCCTGCGTTTGCGAATTCATTTGAATAGCCGTCCAAAAGAGAGCTGCAAATGAATTCGATTGCATCAGTAATTAAAGCTTGCGCGCTCACACTTTGATCAAGCTGCTAAAAATGATTTGCTGCTTGTGTCGGGACGTTCCTCCGGGCCCATACACAGGCAGACCGCACTTTGGTAGGAGGCTCTCCCGTGCAGGAAGATGAGCTCTCCTGAAACTCCCTTCCAAGGAGAACTCGCCCCCTGGGTTGTGGCCAAGGGCAGCGATAAGGCCTGCTTGATGCTATGAAAGATGCTTGAGGAAAGAGACGCTCATTAAGGTTTCTGATGAACTGAAAGCCAAGAACTTGGCTCCTTTTCTCAATGGCTCTTTTCCCCTGTCGTCTTTCAGAGAAGTCGTTGGATGACAGTGCCGAGTCTGACGACGAGGAGAAGGAAGGCAATAATGAAGTAAGTGTGGAGAGCTTTCTGGAAGCCCAGCAGCACTTCGCCACAACAGTTGGCTATCCTTTCTCCGTGGCATTCAGGACGCCACGAGTGGGGTTGTGTGCGACTTCGTAGGCGGAGGGGAAAGTGGCGTTTCCGAAGTGGAAAATGCGTAGCTACGTAATGGTAACACCGTGAAAGCAGGTTTGATACAAAATCACAGCTCGGAGGCTGTTACACTGTGTAAAAAAATTTTTTTTAACTGGACATGTAAAGTCCTAAAGATAATTTAATTCAAAATTTATAATATGAACAACTAACATCAAATACATTCATATGTCTTTCAATATAGTCCACATAGGTAAAAAGGTAAAGGTAAAGGTTCCCTTGCTCGAAAGCCAGTCGAATCCGACTCTAGGGTTGCGGTGCTCATCTCCGTTTCAAAGCCGAAGAGCCAGCGCTGTCCGAAGACGTTTCCGTCGTCATGTGGCCGGCATGACTAAACACCAAGGCGCACAGAACGCTGTTACCTTCCCACCGAAGTGGTACCTATTTATCTACTTGCAATTTCTTGCTTTCCAACTGCTAGGTTGGCAGGAGCTGGAACTAGAGACAGGAACTCACTCCGTCATGCAGCACACTCGGGTCTCGAACTGCTGAACTACCGACTTTCCACAGCCTGCAGTTCAGCGTCTTAACCACTTGAGCCACCGCAGCTCCTATAGTCCACATAGGACGCCTTAAACAGCTTAACAGTAGAATACAGCCGAACTCTCCTCCTGTACAATCTCAAGGTCTTTTTTTGTAGCTTAATATATAGTCAGATTGGTCCACACAGGACTCCTAAATACAATTCATCAGGCCCCACTGGTGGACCTCCCATTGGCCCCTGGTATTTTTGGCCCCTGTGTGACACAAGAGAGTGGACTGGATGGGCCATCGGCCTGATCCAACATTGGCTTCTCTTATGTTCTTATGAATAGCCAAGTCCTCTTCCTGTATAGCTAAAGTCTTCTCTAAAGAGGTCAGTGGCCTGTACAGTCCAAGGTCTTATTTAGTGGCTTAATATATTCATACATATTCAAATCGGTCCACACAGGACTCCTCACAATAGAGATGAATCCAGCTGGAGGAAATGGCTGCTTTGGAGGGTGGACTCTGTGGGCATTGTACCCTTTTGAGGTCCCTTTCCTCCTTAAACCCCACCCTCCTCAGCCTCCATCCCTCAAATCTCCAGGTATTTCCCAACCCAGAGCTGGTACCTCTCAGCAGTGGGAATCAGACCTGAGAAGGCATTTGACACACACACCCCCACACTCCCCACATCCCCCACTGCATTGGCCCTCTTTGGCCCTGGTCACACGGAGAATTTGCCACGCGAAAGGCACGAATGTCGGGCGGATTTTCGGGGCACAATCCCACCGCAACATCTGGGAAGCGTAGCACTCCCGTGGCCAGCCCGTGGCATCCCACTGAAGATGCAGAGTTAAAAAGTACCAAGGAAAGTGCACTAGTGTCCGGAAAACGCATGGCAAAGGCGGGTGTCTGATCGTGGGAGCGCTAGTATCCCGTGGCATCCGGCGCCCGTCCACGTCCCGTCGCGAACCGGATGTTTCTCGTAAGCGCATGCGCACAAACATGAAACTGAAAGCAGTGCCGCTCCGCGGAACTGTGGATGCACACAAATGCGAAACGTTGGTGTGATCGCACCGCGACGCTTCTTTGCCACGCCGCAGCATCGCCGTGTGATCGCCAGCTAACAGCCGAAGCACGGAGACTCGGGGGACCGTGTGATCGGGCTACCGCGCTTTATTTTGCTCCGGGGCGAACAGCCACGCCTCCCCCCCCGGTGTTATCTGGCCCGTGTGACCAGGGCCTTTGTGTTTTTGCTGTAATGAGCATATGCCACAGAACGGAGGTAGTTCTTCCTAAGAACTAAGTGGGCTTCTCTACACTCCATGTTACTGCGGTATTTGTACTGTTTTTAAGTGGGAACTAGGGGGGCCAGCCTCCAGGTGGGGCCCGGGGACCCCCCCAGAATTGCCGCTCGTTTCCAGACTACAGTGATCCGTTCCCCTGGAGAAGATGGCTGCTTTGGAGGGTGGACTCTATGGCATTATAAACTCCTGAGGTCCCTGTCCGCCCCAGGCTCCATCCCCAAATCTCCAGGTCTTTCCCACTCTGGATCTGGAAACCCTACGGTCTGATCCAGCACATCTGTTCTGATGTTCTTATGAAGGCCTCAGCCTCTATGCCCTGTTCTTGGCCCTCCAGAGGAACTGGTTGGCCCCTGTGTGAGACAGGATGCTGGACCAGATGGACCACTGGTCAGATCCAGCAGGGCTCTTTTGAGTTTCTTACCATGGGAATGCCTCCTTGGCCTCTGTGCCCTGTTCTTGGCCCTCCAGAGGAACTGGTTGGCCCCTGTGTGAGACAGGATGCTGGACTGGATGGACCATAGAGTTTCCAGTGATTCCTAGAGAGTCACAATGTGACCACCGGGTTTTCCCAGAAGTGACATCACACTGATTATTGCTTCCTGTGCCCCCCCCCCCGGTCTCCTGCTGGTTTCTAGCCCTGTTCAGTATACACAAAACCTGCCTCTCCTCCGTCGGCAGGGTTTCAGCATCATAACTCACACAGTTTCACCACTTCATCCCCCCCCCCTTCCCCCAACGAGTGGTATTTGGCTGGGCTGGTTCGAGATGTTAGGGCTGTCGCAGTGACCCGGATCCCTCTCTGCTCCCTTTTGCATTCGTCAAGGCTGTGAGTGTCAGTTTCCCAGGTACATCTTTTAACAGCCCAGGACAGGTTTCCTTCCTATCAGGACAAGGGCAAAAGAGCATTTCCTGAGAGGGGAAATGCTTGCTCGCAGCCGACAAACCCTGGTGTGCCTTTGTGCCTTTCCAAGGCTGTTGAACTTCACGTGGGGTGTTTACCGGAGGAATCAGGTACACGGATGCCGCTTTGAGCTCAGTGGCCCCTTAAAAACCAGCCAGGTTTCCAAAGCTCCCTTGCAGGACCCTAGTTGTGTCTGAATAATCCCTTTCTCTCCTCTCCTCTTCTCTCTGAACTGTTCCTTTCCATGTCTTTCTTGCATCATGGTCTTGTTTTAAAAGGTAAAGGTCTCCCTTGCTCGAAAGCCAGTTGCATCCGACTCTAGGGTTGCGGTGCTCATCTCCGTTTCAAAGCCGAAGAGCCAGCGCTGTCCGAAGACGTTTCCGTGGCCATGTGGCCGGCATGACTAGACGCCGAGGCGCACGGAACGCTGTTCCCTTCCCACCGAAGTGGCACCTATTTATCTACTTGCAATTTCTTGCTTTCGAACTGCTAGGTTGGCAGGAGCTGGAACTAGAGACAGGAGCTCACTCCGTCATGCGGCACACTCGGGTCTCGAACTGCTGAACTACCGACCTTCCACAGCCTGCAGTTCAGCGTCTTAACCACTTGAGCCACCGCAGTTTTACCCGCACAATAAATGCTGAGGGAGGTTGGATGCTCAGAGAGAGAGAGAGAGAGAGAGAGAGAGAGAGAGAGAGAGAGAGAGAGAGAGAGAGAGAGCAGCCCCCCTCCAGGGCCATCTGCTGATCTCTGTGACTGAGTGGAGGTTTCAGTTCCAAACCCAGCATGTTGTCCTTGGCAGCGCTTTGGCTCTGCTCGGTTCCCTTGTGATGGAAAGAGGCGTGTCGGCTCCTCGCTATGCAAGGAATGTGCTTTTGTTGATTCCTTCAGCAGCATCAGGGCATTGTTCTTTTGGGCATGGGTGAGGGAGAGGTGATATTGCGTCGTCTTATAGATTTGTGCATGTGCGTATGTGCACTTACTTCCTGAGCGATGGTTCTAGCTGCCCAGGAGCGGACTGCAAAGTAAAAATGGCTCTGGAGCGAGCTAAGCAGAGGGGCCCCAGCAGGGTTGCGAGCTCAGTGTTGGGAAATACCTGTAAATTTTTTTGGGGGGGGGTTTGGAGTCGTGGTGGGTGCAGTTTGGGGAGGGGAGGGATCCTAGCAGGGTATAATGTCAAAGAATCCACTTTCCAAAGTGGCTGTTTGCTCCAGGGGAACTGATCTCGGTCGTCTGGAATTCAACTGCCAGAGCGGGAGAGCTCCAGGTGCTACCTGGAGGTTGGCAACCCCAGGCCCCCTGTGGTGCTACAAACCATAGCTGCCGGGTAACTCAGCCCAGTGGTACAAACAGTGGCCGTTGTCACGGTCCCTATAGCTCCATTATCAACAACCAATCCTTGAGTAAGAAAAGTTCTATTGCTCAGAGAGATGGAATGCCTTGCACTCTTAAGTCAGGAATAAAGTAGTAGGAGGGAGAGCTTGTACCTGAATAAACCTTGGTCTTAAAGGTGCCACTGGACTGTTTTGGATTGCTAGCTATTGGGGGGGAGGGAACGTGCAGATCTGTCCTCACAGAGGAGGGAGAGCTTGTACCTGAATAAACCTTGGTCTTTAAAGTGCCACTGGACTGTTTTGGATT